TTCTTTCTTTCTTTCTTTCTTTCTTTCTTTCTTTCTTTCTTTCTTTCTTTCTTTCTTTCTTTCTTTCTTTCTTTCTTTCTTTCTTTCTCCAGACCAAAAGAGATTTAGAAGCTGATGGAGACTTAAAATACTGTATCTAGAAGGTAGATATAAAATATGCAATTAAATTTGGGTGGAATTCCTCACCCAGAACCTATTAATATATTAAAGGTAAGCTGCCTTTATATGCATCACAGGAGACGAGGCTGTCAAGTTCACACATTTTGGCTCTATACAGTAGTATGTAAGCATGAAGGATGTAAGTAACCATGCTTACACCTGCAAAGAACTGTCCTGAATTGTGGCAGGGTCTCCTGCAATTCCATGTATGGCTCTGAAGAAGAGCCAAACTCAACTCCAAACTTCAACTCCACCAGAAGCCTCAGCCTGTGCTCTTTTCTTGCTCTTCAACGTAAATGATACAAAACCATTCAGTTCTTTTCATGCATTTCAGACAATTGTTGACTATTGGCTATTGTTTAGTCTGGTATAGAAAGACCTGTTGAAAGTAATGAAGATAATCTTAATGGAGATAGGCAAGATCTATTATTGTTAACCAGAGGGAAAACATCTTTAAGTCTACATCAAGCAGCAAATATGAGAAAGGCTCAGACGGTCACCACCCATGGGTGTAAAGAGGAGAATGAGTACAGCACAATGAGATTTGCAAGATTGTTGTCAGCCCGTCCAGATAGATCAGCTCAGGAATCAACTCCATAGGAAGCTAATACTACTTTTATTGATAATAGCTGTGCCAACAGATCCTTGCAAGCCTGATTATGCTGTACTTCCTCTCATACTTATGCGAATTAGGAGCTGTATTCAACACAAAGAATGATGGCGTTCATCTTCTCATTCATTCGAGCCTTGTTTTTAGTGACTTATGCAGACATATCAATGATCAATAAAAGAGAAAAGGTTGAAATGTACAAATGATTGCAAATATATTTCCTTTTTTTAGCGAACTGGTCTATGTTTCACATTGGAAATATCACAATTATTTTCATTCTGGTCAAAGCAAGATCTTGCTCTTCTTTTGTGGTTATGACTATTAAGGACTATTAATTCCTTGCTTGACATGATTTTATATTCTTAGAAAATTTGGGGGAAAGGAGGGGTTGTTTTCATTTTTTAGTTAAGCCATTAATAAATTCTTCTGTGCAGTCAATTATATGTTTGCAGTCTTGCTGCCAAGTCTAGAGTGTTAATTATTGCTAAATGTTGTGGCGCCATAGGGTTTGTGATTAGAGTGCCAATGAGCCTGGCAGAGGTTGATGTTTGCAGATTGGATTGGCTAGAGAAGATAATGGTAGGATTTGTTAGGAGTTGATATTGATCTTAAGTCTTGATCTTAGTCTTGATCTTAATGAATCAGCCTCGCAGTGATCCTTATTTTGTTAATATTATTACTTTTAGTACCAAAATAATCTAGATTAAAATATCACTCATATGATTAGGGGTAAATAGATGGAACTGTAATTTTCAATAAAGGAAATAATGAATCTAATCCATTTAAATAGTTTGTAGAATACTCTGTTCTGGAGCAATGTAGGGCTACTGAAAAGTATAAGGCTATATGATCCAAAATAATTGTTTCTTTGCTTAAAAAAGTATACTTCCTAAATATTAATTTTTCATTACTTTTAAAGAATGGCATGAATATTTTTTTAAAAAAATAAATAAAGCAGAAGAGCAAACCATACCATGACTGTTTTCATTTTTCAGTCAGTTAGAAGCAGATTGGGAATTGTGTCTTTTCTTCTGAAACACTGAAAACAGTGAGTGAAAATCCCTGCCTTGTCCTGAACTTCTCGGGTCTTGCAGCAACAAAAGTTTCTTCACCCTCCCCTCAAAAGGGAAAAGAGGAAAGAAAAGAAAGCACAACAGCCAGATAAAATCCAATTACAAATCTTCCATTGTTATTATTTGAAATATTATTGAATCCCAATACATGCCTATCTGATGCCTTCTTAAATGTTGGTTATGTAATGAGCTATCCAGAAAAAAAGTTCAACTAAATTATACCTGAGTTAAAATTATTATTTTTTTTATTGTATCAAGATTCCAAGGGAACTATTGCTTTAAGTTTATTCTCTAAAGAACCATAAAAGCATAGAAAAGTGTCCAGATTGAAGCTATCAGTAAATCTGATCAAGTAGAAAATTGGCTGCACTGTTTTGGTTGGATCATATTTTGGGGGATTTATTTCAGTCTAAATCTTGGACAGAAGCAAGAGAGAATCAGTGAGTTATTGATGTTCATTCCCCATCAATAACCATTGACAGCAGTAACAATGGTATAGTTCCGAACCACTTTTCTAGATTAAAAGCTGAATAAATTGCTATGCATTGCTATTTTTTCCCTATCTCACAAATTGGTTTCAGAAATGGTCCTGGCAATCATTTTCTGTGAAAATTGGCCAAGGAGATTCCACAGGATTTCATTTTGCTTACCATACTTGTTAAGAATTACATGAGTGCTGCACAAGGTAATTCTAGGATTTGAAGCAAAGTATCAGCATTGTGATGATTGCACTCAGTTCTGTTTTCTCATGGCATCATTTATAGCACAAGCTTCCATCAATTAACCCTAGAGGCCAGGAATGAAAGGGATGAAGATTATACATAATTCAATGCAAAATGGCAATGCTATTGGAGAGATGACCCATAATGTGTAGAGGGCATGTCAATTCTAGTTTTAAAAACTTTGTTTCTCATAAAAATAAATAAAAATAAATTTGTAGGGGAACTCACCCAAGGTCATTTGTTAGAAGCAATGATAAAGATGTTTAGTTTAGTTTAGCTTATTTTAGCTTAGTTTATGTTTTAGAGGCCACTAAAGTATATCTTAAATTGAGCTTATAATTCTACTTACCTGAGATATGTCTGGGTAGAACATATATAGCAGGGGTGTCAAACTCAATTTCATTCAAGGCCGCACCAGGGTGGTGTTTAACCTCAAGGGGCTGGGGTGGGCATGGCCAGGGTGGGCACAGCAAGCTTGACGTCACTTGTATTGGGGATGCCTGTTGCCTGAGCACTCTGCCAGCAAAAATGGGATCCTGAGCTCTTGTTTTTGGCTGGGAAGGCCTCCTGCAACCCTCTGCCAGAGAAAACATAACTTGGGAGGGCTATGTGTGGCCCTCGCAAGCTACATTTTTGGCTGGGACGGCCTCCTGCAACCCTCTGCCAGCAAAAACGAAGTATGAGAGGGCTGCATATAGCCCTCCCATGCTCCGTTTTCACTGGCAGAGGCACTGTGGGCTGGTCCTTTGCTGTTTCCAGGACAGGCCCGCAGGCCAGCTCTAAGCACCCCATGGGCTGAATACAGCCCACAGGCCTTGACTTATACCCCTGATATATAGGATAATATTGTAAAACACAGAATTCCAATAAAATATAACAATACTTCCTGCCCTTTTTCCTCTTTTCTCTATGACAGTAGAAATTCAGGACATTGGGATTCTTCTATCTCTGTTTTATGCCGCAAGAATTCTTAACTTCTCTTTTTCGGATAGTGAGAATTCAATGTGAGAAAACTTGCAAACTTTCAGAACATGGTAACATCTAGCAAGTATTTAAGGAGCATACCAAAAGTTTACTGGAAATTAATCAGCTCGTAGAAAACCAAATAAAAAAAGGAAAAACACTTGTAATCTACAGATTACAGTATAGGCATCATTACTTTTCTGGGAAACTGTGGATCATGTTCAAACCCTGCATCACTACTAGTGAGCACTATTTGCATATGCTTGTGCTAATTGTGTTAAATATAGCTTTGGTCCTATTTTGTTGTTCTAGAGTTATATTTGAAGAGAACCCTCTAGTTATCTATTAATTGATTCAGTCATTTACTCATTCACTCAATTCATATCTCAGCTTTCCTTGGGGAGCTGACAGTAACTTATATAGGCCCCTCAATTTTCATTTTCCCAAGAAAAAAACCCTGTGAAGTGTCCCAAGTCATCCAGTTTTCTCTTTATATCCCACTTTTATTATTTTTATAGGGTGGTATACATACTAATATACCTTCCTCCTCATATTTTACCCACAATAGCATCCCTGTGAGATGAGTTGGGCTGAGAGACAGTGTGTGTGTGTCTGGCCCAAAATCACGCAACCAGCTTTCATGCCTAAGGCAGGACTAGAACTCATGGTCTCCTGGTTTCTAGCCTGGTGCCTTAACTATCAGAGCTCAATATTCTCTTGGAATATTGACCATGTTTAATGCTACACAGTTGACTTGATTACATAAGTTACTTCTATGGAATTCAGAAGGCTGTTGCACATTCTAACCAAGGAGGGATCGCTGTTGCAATGCTCTGAGAACTCTGTCTGTTAGAAAAGACAGCGACTGCGCTCTCTACAATGCATTGTGTTTTACCTCTAGCTATGGGTAAGTCTTTGGTTGGACTGTCTTCATAAAGGACCCTGGTTTGGCCATGTTGATGCCTGAAAAATATTTTTTCTTAGAAAATATTGTTTTAGTAATTCTCTTTTTGTATGAGCAGAGCATGTGATTTCTTTTCTTTGTAATTACATAATAAGAGAGAGATATCCACATGACCTACTAAACATACATATATATATGTGTTTATATATATATATATATATAAGTATGAAGGTATATATGTGTGTAGGTATAATTATATATAGTCCCAAATCAATATTTATATATACATATATATACAATCTGCCAAATATATTTAATTACAGATTACGGAATTTTAATTATACATGATTAACTTTCCAAATCTACTCAATGTTGGCAACTTATTGGCTATAATTTTCTTCTGGTATGACTTGAGCACCCAAAGTGTATTCTCTCCTTTCTCTCTTGTTAAAACGAGCCAGTGGTTTTGCCTCTTCTGTTTATTCCTGTCTCTTTTCTCTTTCTCTCTCCCCCAGCCCCATTTCTTCTTGCTCTGGCTCTGTCATCTTCTGAAACCGAAGCTGCCTTCTTCCTCATTTCAACTCCCCGCCGCATAATGTTACCTTTCTGTTGCAGATTTTGAATACCTGCTGCCAAACAGCTTTGAGTCCGAGGGACATGTATTCATTGCTCCAAGGTAGCTTTGTGTGTGAGCTTGCTGAGGTGTCCATTTAACCACCAACCCTGGGAGTGGTTCAACTCCCCTTCCCCAACCCTTTTTCCGTCCCTGTCACACCTTCAGATATTCTACTCCATTACTCCTGACCCATTTGGAATTGATATACCTCCTCATTGTGCCAATGTCTTGATCATTTCTTCCTTTTTTTGTGTGTCTGTCATCTGCCTGTGTGCCAGTCTCGGGGACTATGATTGCCGCCATCTACACTATGTTGTGCTACCATTGGCGGCCGGCAGCATAGATGTCCCACCTTCTGTTCACTCACCTACATAAGAAGAATATATATGTGTGTATGGCTGCATATGAGACACATATGTAGCACACATATATAGGTATAGTTTCTGAAAATCCTCCCAAAAAAACCCAGCCCTGTTTCAATCCTATTGAGATCATGATATCATGTAAGGAAAAAATCCACCAAAACATCTCTAAATTAGCCCAGCCTAAGAGATCATATTGATCAGGATTACTTTTATTGCGACAGCTGTAACAGTAGAAATCTTGCAAATCTGAATGTGTTCCTTCTTCCTCACTTTATCTTTGTTTGAACTAGGGAGGGACTTGTCCGAGATGTTTCCTTATGTTATTTTCTTTGTCTAGGTTTGAGCCCCTGTTATCTGATTGTTGACTTGGTCGCAGCATTTCTTCCTGTCCTTCAAGGCTATTCCCTTTGCCCTCTACACATGTGTTACTATTGACTACTATTACTATTGATATAGTAATACCATACATAAAAATCACAAACTCTGCATTTTGTAAGCCTAGCAAATTTTATTCTTTCAACTCTTTCAAATTTAATTATTTCAAATCTACAGAACAGAATATTTGTTGCCCAGTCCAGTGTAGTGGTCAGAATATTATACTAAGCTAGGGGAGGTTCAAATTTACAGAACAGTTTGGGGATAAAAACTAGAGAGGGAGAGAACTAAGATTTGGGGTGAGGGCAGAATTCTGTATTCCATAAATAAATCTTGTTAGATTTACGGGCAGCACAGCATCAGCCCACATCTCATAAACTGGTGATATATTTGGCATCCAGATGAAATTATAATGACCACTGTTTGTGATAATCATTTGCAATGGTGAAGCCTATTTGGCTCAACCACAGAAGGCCAAATACAAATAAAGATGGAGTTCTTATGTCTTTAATACTTCTATAGAAGAGGGAAAATCAGAGTCTCAGGCAAGCATGCCATGCAGTCAGAAAATAAAACCCTTCCACTCAGACATTTAAAGATACAGTAAACTGGGCCTCTTCTGGTAACTCAGGCTCCAATCACCGTATATATGAAAGAAATGCCATTTTAATAGCCTTTTCACAAAGTCAGCACTATATAAGGCATTATAATACAATAGGTAGGTGATGTTCCAACATTTTTTTAAGCAGCTACAACATGCATTAATCGTACAGAGCAATCCTATACATAAATACTTAGAGATATTCCATGGATTTTATTCCCAGGTAAGTATTTATAGGATTGCAGTCTTAAAAATGCATGACACTCATACAACACTTTTTTTTAATTGGGATGAGGAAACTGTATCCCTCCATATAATGCTGAACCAATCCAAACAGCACCATTCTGTAGTAGTCTTATTGAGCAGGGTTGCTTAGAAATTAGCATTCAAGTGGACTTTTTTTCTTTTTGGCTTGAAACTTTTCACTGTTTTTCAAGCCAAAAAGAAAAGTCCAATTGCCATGATTCAAGTTTCAGATAACCCTTACGTGGATGAATGAGGAAATATATTTTATTTTCTCAAATTCTGTTGATTCTAGTTTAACAACTTCAGTGAATGGGGTTCACTGACATTTGTTGCATTCAGTTGCATTTGAGATTGATAGTACATGAGGAGAGCTGTAAAATTTGTAATTTTTAATCATTTAGGGCAGGGGTGTCAAACTCACTGGCTACGCCCACCCTTGGTTTAGCAAAGGGGGGGAGTTGCAATACGTCATGTGACAACAACGTGACACTGTGAGTTTGACATCCCTGATTTAGGGCTACCAAATCTGGGGTACAAAAATCCAGATAGCTACTATAGGCCTATGTTTCCTTGCTGTCATCATTTACTAGTTATCTGAATTTTGAACTCCTGATGTGATCACCCTATTATCATTACTAATAGATATCTTTTTTCTGCACTGAACACTGTCCAGCATAGAAATACATGATATCTATGGGACATTTTATAAATCATGGATAACAGTTTATGTTCAAATTTTTAGGTTTAAGATTTTTTTGACAGTATGTCCTCTTTTGTATAGATGCATAAATAGTCATAAAATAAAAGGGAAAGACTTTTTATTATCCTGAAAACATTCTTTGCAATCCAGTGTCTAATTAGGTCTATCACTTCCAGCCTTTCCCAACCTGATTCCTTTTACATTTGTTGGACCACACTTCTCCAGTGGCAGCCAAGATGACCAATAGCCATATTGTCAATTTCTAGGCAGGAGATGTCCTGTAGTCCATTGGAAGCTATGAGAGGTTAAGAAATGCAGATTTATGATTATATCAGAACAAATAGGCTTCTGTTCTAGAAAGCATTTGTTCCTAGTGATTACTTATGACATTTCTTTAATTCCAGCTACACTATTTATTAGCCTCTCAGCCCCAATAATGCTTGGCAACATGCTGTGAAGTCTCATCATTACTAATATGGCCAATAGTCCATGGTAATTTTCAGAAACCATATATCACTAATAATCTATTTGTGAGTGTGCAAGCACATATATCTGTACATATCTGTGTAAATACATAGGTGGATAAAATATAGTGTATATATATCTCTCTATATATATTTATATATCTATAAATCTTCAAGAAGCAAAATAAACTGGACGGTCCAGGATTTTACATTGCATTAACATACAGTGATGGAAAATTGAAAGGTAATTAAAGCAAAATAAACTTGTATTTTATTTCTGTGAAAAAGTTGTTAAAAACTGGTGACCGTCAAATCTTATCCAACTACTCTACAGAATATATTTTAATTGCTTCTACTTTCATACACATTCGTTTTGTTGGATCTAACAGATGAGATGCATACTGGATCTGCTATTTGGTTCAAACTCATTAACTCTCTGTATTTCAACTGACCTTTTAAGAGACTTACTGATTTTGTGCCAAAGATGCCTATGCAAGTAGTTTTATTTACAGAATATATTCCATTTATACATGGACAGGCTTTTGCATTGAACCCACTTTTTGTGACAGAAGCCTTAAACAAATTACATCCACCGCTATCCCCTCAGCTACATAGCTGTTAAAAGATACAGGATACTATCATCCTTTACATCTGGCCACCTGGTGAGATGTCCCGTGTGATATTTGTCATGAACCTAGAAAAATCACTCTCTAAATTGCAATCTCTATCCTGTTCTAAATTATTTTGTAATATTTAATTTTGAAAGCTACAGTATAAAGATGGAAGAATACACACACACCCTGATCTTGGTAACTGGCAATGCAAAATTAGGTCATGCAAACTTTGTTGCTTCAGTTAAATAAAAACTCCCAAAGATAATGGCAAATGGTGATGGGAACAAGCCTAGTTTTGTTATATATCTTTACAATTCACAATGGTCTATATCTGCAGATGCCTAGACTCACAGCAAGGTACAATCTTGCATACAAATTAACCCATTAAAAAGACAGAGCTGATAAATAGTTTAATATATAAATCTCAATACTGTTCATATAGTCTTGCAAGCAAATGCCAGCACCTGTCTGTCTAAATGAAGGGTACAGATATGTCTACAGTATCTATATATGTCTGTAGCAGTATTTTGATGCATAATCTTGGCGTATCCTGTTTTTTATTGCTATGGTGAAGAGCGGTTCACTGTGACTGTCCTGAAAATCTCTGTGCATTGTGGAATCTTGTTTTGTTCCACAAGTAAGCCAAATCTTTAAAGTGTTTTCTCACATATGGCCCTCTTCCACTCTTTCCTATCCTGTCTCCCACTTTCTCAAAAAGTGGAGTTTCAGAGAAGAAACATTTTGCATACTTAATATAAAGTCAACTAAAGATGGGTGACATTTGTTCTCCTCTACCCACTCACCCACCCCCAAAATCAAAAAGAAAAGAATAGTGATTTTAATTATTGGGTTGGACTGTGACCACAATAAATGAAGAGATTATATCTAATGAGAGAATATGGTAAGTTGGGCAATAGGTGGAAATAGATATGAATTTGCTAGAATTTGCAACTTCGGCCTTAGCATCTTTTGAAGGAAACCAAATTCTGTATCAAAACATTATAGATAAAAGAATCTTCTATTCTTTTCCCAAATCATTGAACTACATCTCTCCTCTTTCCATTAAGAGAGAGGTAAGTATTTTTATCCCTTGTTTAAAACCCCCATGCCAAGACCAAATAGGAAAAGCAAGAAACAATGCAGTCATGCGTCCAGAATCAGCACCTCTCAAGATGTAACTCAGACTCCAATCACTACATGCTTAACTTGTTTTCTCTGGGATCTTGTCCTGCTTAATTCACCAATGCTCCTGACTACACTTGAATTGGGTAGTCCCCAAAGTGCTTTTTCCAAAAGCAACCAGATTTTGTTTTTCCTTAAAGATGTTTCGTTTCTCATCAAAGAAGCTTCTTCAGTTCTTTTAAAAAAATCATACCTTTGGGATAACCATGACTTGGACAACAGAATCTCAGGCATTTGAATTGGGTAGCATCCCTTGACAAATAGACAGATAGTGCTACATGCATATATGCATATAAACAGGCACAAATACACTTGTATATGATTTGGACTGCAGTTGTTGCCATTCAAGAAGTCAACCATCTCATTAGAATGAGTATGTTCCATTCAAATTATATCTACTTAACTTAAGCAATCTATTAAGAAAACCATACACAGTATTAAGAAAGACATTTCCCATCCTGGATACATTTCATAACGCTGCAGCAATCAGATAAAAGTGAAATAAAGATGATAAATTAATCTGTCTTCACAGTACTGATTCAACCACTCTTCCTCCAACTTCCATTATTTTTTCGATTAAAAAAATAAACTAAAACTACAAATATATACAGTGGAAAGGAGAGAGTGGTTGTGGACTGAATTAGTGGGCAAAGGAAGAATTAACATTTTTGTCCCCTTCCTGCCAGCTCTCCTTGGCTTCCCAAATTTGGAATCCTCTGCTGGCTGGGAATTATGGAACTTTCCAACATGTCAGAAAGGTGCCAGGTTGGCTTGGGCTCATTAGCAATATTTTTTCAGAAAACTGGTTGATATCTATCGCATCACCTTAGACTAACTTTTACGGTTAGAAAACAATTATATGTAGATATGAAAAAAACAGTGCCGTTGTTGACAGAGATTTATTTCTGAATTGCAAATAAAGCAGTCAAGTCCTATAACAGAATTGTGTCAAAAAAAGAACCTTTAAAAAGATGCTGAAAGTGAGTCTAGAAAGATAGCTGGAATGGTTTTAGTGAGATAAATTTAAGGCTGTATAAATTGACCCATTATATCAAGTAACTGGCACTGCCTATACCTTGGAGATAGCTATTACTTATCTTCATGCTTTTAATAGGATTTATTTGGGAATGCATACAATCTTCGAAAACAATCTAAATAAAGTGGGAGATAGTCCCATTTAGGAGACAGCAAAGAAATTTACCTTTGTCCCAGATTACCAACCTCACTTATTCCCTGCCATCAAGTATCAATACTAGAATGAAAAAATAATATTCATAGCTTGAGTTCTGCTGCTGTCTCTAGAGAAGTGGTGAGCTTTTTAGGTCCACATATTGATCAACTTCCATTATTGACATCGTTTACAACTGACCATCCCAGCTCAGACTTCTGTTTCAGCAACATCTGGAAATCCACAAACTCCCCCCCCCCCCCCCATTGCTGCTCTAAAAAGACCAGATACTATCATCAAATCTGCACCCTTAGCATCTCACTGAGGAATCTCATGGCTTATGTATGGATCCACTTTTTAAAAGTGTTGCTTCCCCCTGCCCCCAACTTCATTGTGAAAAGCTACAGTGAAAGCTAGAAGAAAGAGTGGGAGAGGAAGGAAATGAGGCTATTTTCCAATACTTGGTTTAAAAAAAATAGTCTTTTTATAACTAGCATGGTCACACTTCTGTGTAAATGCCATGTTGAAAATCATAGTAAAGACTGATGTCTATAGAAATTCACAAAAGCAGATCAAGAGTTTAATTAAGTTGCAAACCCCGGAGGAATTAAAATAAGCCAGTAAGTTCTTAGAGAAATAGAGTGGCACAATTATTCAGAAATCTGAAAATGCAGTGATGCATAGTACTTATCCAATGCGGTGTGCTGTGCTTTAGGTGGCAAGAAGAAACCATTCAGGTAGTGTTTTATGACATCAGTAAATAACAGAAAAGAGTTATGCCGCAGGTTTTTATATAGCCAATAAATTCCCAAAGGCTTCCTACTGCACTTTCATAAATTGACTTTGTAATATTTTACAGACTTCTGGTTAATCTTGAGAGGTGCTGTAACACCAGTGTGAAAAGGCCAAAAAACAGCCTATCCCAGCAGACTGTGTGCCATGCCATAAAACACATTCATACAATCTCCCCAACTCTCAAAGAATCACTAGTACATATTATACCGATACTAGATTTGAAACGTACTAGATTCTTACACATATTTCTTTCTCTACCCATATATAGATTTAAGACATCTTTAAAAATAAAGGTCGAGTAGCTCTAAATATTGATAATGAGATGCACATTGAATGCAAAATCATATTTCTGAGCAGAGATGGTGGTGGTGAGGATATGACTCATTAAATAACTCCACATATTTCCCACTTTCATTGTCTTAACCATATCCAGCTAGTTTGAGTAGCTGCTTCACCTGTGCTGAGCACATGATTAGGCCAATTCTGAGAGAAAGAAAACTAACCGCAACTTTTTCATCCTTCCAATCCACAAATCTTCCTCGTAACCCAGAGAATATTGCAAAGACCTCAACCTGTCGGATAACAACACTGAATTCCTGGAAAACTTTATTGCCCTCATGGAAAAGGTGACGCCTGACTCCAAACAATGTAAGTACCCTCAAAGGCCTGTGGTGGAAAGAAAAGCTCATCCCAAGAAAGCCTTCACGTTTTGTGAGTGAGAGAACCCAGGGAAATCCATTACTAAGCAGCAATGGATTAATAAATAAATAAATCTACTTTTAAAGATGGAGGTGGGGCAAGGGTTGCCAAAAATAGGTTATTTAAATAAAGTTTCATGTTTATTTCAGTGAAGTGTTAAGATGTGCTTCTATTATATCTGGGAATTGTTACCTTATGGTAAGGTGGATTTCATAAAACAAGGACGTAATTCAACTTTGTAGCAACCTCCAAATGTAATTTGGATTACAGCCTCCAGAATTCCCAACCACTAGGGCCTGTTCTGGAGAATATCCGATTGTGGAAGTCTGATATAAATGATTAGCCACCACAGTTAAGAGTTGTAATGTAGCCCTGTACATGTATGATCAGCTTGCCCAAATGGAAGCGATGGGACTTATCTTTTCAAAAGTATGCAGTCATTGGATAATGTTGTTTGCCAATCCTACATTTGATCATAGGCATATGGACTTCTTCGGGCTTGATCTGGCCAGAACCAGGTCACATTTCATCAGAAGTTAAAGCTCTCTGATTTTTATGACTATAAGATATACCTCATTAAAACAAATCCTACATTACATAGCCAGCCTGATTTCTCAGTGTAAATTAGTACAACTGAGCAACTAAAAAACAAGAGTCATAGTATTCCCTTCCTTTATGGACAGGTAGTGATCAAGCATCCTTTAGGTCAGGGCTGTCAAACTCATGGCCTGCGTCATGCACTGGCCACATCCACGTCCAGTTTAGCGAAGGAGGGAAAAGTCGCGATATATCGTGTGACGATGCTGTGATGACGCAAGTTTGGCACTCCTGCTTTAGGTGTTAAAAGTACATTTTCCAGGAGTAGTAGTTCAGTCATCCCTTTCCATATCTGTCAATTATGGAAATGTAGTTCTACCATGTTTGTTTATTATACTTAGTGTGACCCCCAAAAATATGACAGTACTCTAGGAAACTGCCTATGTGTGCATAAGATACAGAAATACATTATTTACCATCTCCAACTCAAAACAGCAAGAAAAGGGAGACCTGAGCTGACTGACTTCCAATACTGAGAAGAGTTTCCAAAAACATTGAGAAATGTATGCCTTTTTTTTAATAGAAAAAGGCAGTTTAATACTGCTAAGAATTTAGATCAGGGCATCCTAATTCCAAATTACTGAATAATGGAGAGATTTGGTATTGCCTTCAACTGCCTCTTTGTGAGTAAAAATGGTGAGTGGAGAAATTCTAGCAACTATTTGGGTAAGCAAACTTCTGGTTCTGGAACATTTGTTCTTTCTGTTAAGGTGACAACTTCCTTCTTCACAACCTTATCCTGGACACTGGAATTACACAACAGCTGGTGGAAACAGTATGGAAGAATCAAGATTTAAGCACGTAAATAAAACTTCTGAAACATGCTCGTGGTATTATTCAAATATTCAGTTGAGTGCAGATTAATTGCATCTTTTTATAAAGTAGTTTTCCAAGGCAATGTGAAGCCTTCAGCTATATTAATATCAGCTAAATTACATGGCCTGGAGACCATGCTGAAAATTATAGTTGAGGCTATACAAATCTTTTGAAGAGTGATTCACAAGGGCACATGAAACATCTCTCTCTTAATTTTTAAAGTAGCCGCATCTTTACCTGGGCTTGTAGAGGTTCTATATTGATCTCTTACATCAAAAAACTAATCCACTATCATGTAATCATGTTTCAATGATTGTCAGGAAGGAGGGACATTTTGAGTGTGCCACCCTATTCCTACATTTTCACTTTGATTTCTATCTTACTGCAGATATAGTCTTCTAGCTGTGTTTGTTGCCACAGATGGTGGCATCACCCGTGTTTTCCCTAACAAGTAAGTTTTTGTTGTCATCTATAAGCATCTGTGTACGGACAGATTAAACTTTCTTCCCTTTGGTCTCTGCAATCCATGTTGGTCCTCTGGAAATCATCACAGAATTACACATATAGTCTATTTTGTGACTGCCTAATATCAAAGCCACTTTCCAGATTCTTCTGAGTAGGTCAAAGGAGAAAGAAAATAGGTGGGCCCCGGCTGACCACCATTGAAGAAAGAAAAGTTTCTCTAATGAAGCCAAGCATTTTTATTTCCTCTGTACATTTTTTAAAGATGTGAACAAGCTTTTTGTTTCTGCAAGAACGTTGAGAGTGGGTCTTCTACAAAAAAAAAAAAAAACACTACTTTTGGACATCTGAATGTGATATGAAATTGAAAAATTGTCCTAAATCATGAGATTACTGTGACTTGTATCCTGTAGGAGACAAAAAAATTGCCTTGTTAACTACCATCTTCAGAGGAGTATTCTTACTGATTTGCCTTAAATACCTAAGTGCTAGGCAATAAATATCTTAATAAATATCTTGATACCTTATATGCTTGGAAAAATGAAAATAATAGATTTGTCAAGCACTCAGCTTTATGCAAAATGAAAGATATTTTATTATCCCGGTTTTTTAAAAAAGTTGATTTACTTTGGGATTTTTCTGCAATCTTCTAAAAGAAGTGGTATAACTCAATTCTAATTTGTAAAAGGCAATTCTGTAAACATCAAGTGACATTAAGACCTGTCCCTATTGCCATTTTATAATGGGTTAAATAGTTGTTTTATTTACATATTGAAAAGTTTATAGGAAATACGTTTGGGGAGTATCTGAGGTTTTGGTGTCTGAGGAGCAGATCGCCTCTTTAAAGACTCCTTAGCATTTTTATGCATATACTTGATTTTGAGCCTACTTTTGTGAAAGATGAAATTGATAATGTTCTATGGGTGTGGTTGATTTCTATGAAAGAGCTGCTGAAGATTGGGAAGAAGACCGAGAGCCCTTCAATGCCAGCTTTTATCGAAGAAGCCTAGATAATAAAGGCTACATCTTTAAGCCTCCTTACCGAGATCGTAAGTAAAATCTTGCAGAACATAGCTAGGCAGTATTTTCAATGTGGATAGTCTTTATAAATATGAAGCTCCAGGAAATTGCAATACAACTCTTGTTCAAGCTGGCTTACATGCTGGCTTAATCCCAGGAGCTGAAATCCACATACATTAAAGTTGCTCGGGTTGAGAAACACTGTTCTGTAGGAAAACTATAAACCATATTTGATATCTGATATGCAGGGTTGTGTGTCAGGAGTGGGGGAAGGGAGCATTCAGTCATCAAATCATGGGAAATAAATTGCTTTGGCCTTATATGTTTATATTTTATGGTGCTTATTTAATTTTTGTCGTGTTTGTTGTCAGAATTTGATAGAATTGTGACAACTTAGACAGACAGACAGACAGACAGACAGACAGACAATAGTGTTACCATCAGAGGTGGTATTCAGCCAGTTCTGACAGGTTCTGGAGAACCAGGAGCAGAAATTTTGAGTAGTTTGGAGAACCGGTAAATACCACTTCTGGTTGGCCCCGCCCCCATCTAGGCGCTGCCTCCTGAGTCCCAACTGATCGGCTGGGTCTTCTTTTGTTGCCCTGCACAGGAGAACGGAGCTGGAAAGCAGGTTAGTGGGGTGGGGCGGGAACGGGGATTTTGCAGTATTCTTCCCCCAGGAGTGGGATGGAAATGGAGATTTTGCTTCCTTCCCCTGCCATGTCCACCAAGACATACCCACCAAGCCATGCCCCACCCACCAAGACACACCAAGCCTACCAAGACACACCCACAGAACCAGTAGTAAAAAAACATTAAATACCACCATTGGTTACCATCTACATCTGAAGCCATGGATGTAGCTTAAGACCTTAATTACTAAATAGCAGAATAGAAGAAGTTTGTTATTTTATTGTTAAAGTGAATTAGAAAGTAAGCATTGGCAGGAAGACAACTATTCATGAAACCATAAAAATTGCCAGATTGTTTCTTCTAAGCCAGAGAGTTTCTTGTAACAGTTATGCAGTATTATCCATCAGAAAATGTTAATTTGTTTCCCTCTTTCCTTTAAATAGCCAGCTACAGAGGAGCAGAGCCAGACAGCAGTGCTGTTGGGATCCTAGTTAGCACAGCTGTAGAACTCAACATAGCAGAGAGGCATCTGAAGCCAGCAGGTAAAGTAATCCAGTGGTTTGTCCCAAAGATTTTCAGTCCTATTCTATTCTATCTAACCTGCCATAGTTCAGCATAGGCTTTCTGGAGCTCTATAACCATTCCATATTTCCAGATGTATCTTCCACCTCCTCTGAGATTTGAGTTTCAATGCAATTATGTTGGACAGTTTCATAGAATAACAGAGTTGGAAGGGACCTTGGAGGACATCTAGTCCAGCCCCCTGCTCAAGCAGGAGAGTCTATTATCTTCTCAGATATAGCAGACCTGTATATAGAATTTGTGCTGGTTTTGTGTCCTTACAGAATTATGCCATGTAAGAATAACACAGGAGATTTTCAAGATAGCCAAGAGACAAAGTATAATCTAATTCGTAAGATTATTTAAATGTACAAATATATTTTAGAACTCAATATTATCAATGTTTTGAAAGTCACTAGGTTGCTCATTTATTGCTTTTGAGCTGGCACAAATTCTATATACATGTGTGCTTTATCTGAGAAAAATACAAAAACTATTACTGTAGATCATGGAATCAGAATTGGTGTTTTAAAATAGAGATAGAGTTGGATTCTTGCCTTTGGCCCCTTCAGCTGACTTAGGGGATTCCCCCTTTTTCCTGGCTGCTAGTCCAATTCCCCATCTGTTGTCTTGACTTCCAGATAGGTTTTCCAAGGGAACGCAAGTAGCTTCAAGGGAGAAGAACAGCAAAACCTCCTCCCACAAATGTGCTTGCATTCATATTCCTCAGATTAAACTTTCTATCTGCAAATAAAAAAATAAAATTATTTCTCCTCTCCAGTGGTTGGAGTAAAACTTGACTTGGAGGCCTGGACACAAAAATTTAAAGTCCTTGCTAGCAATCAAACAGATCAGCAGAAAACACGACGAGTAAGTAATGTGTGTGGCGGCGGTGGGGGAGTGTTCCTAGGAACAATACTAGGACTTTTGAAAACAGCATGATTGGAGCTGTGGAATTTCTGTTTTCAAAATAAATAATTATTGCATTACTATACAATAAAAGAAAAAGAAGGGAAAAATAAAATACATAAAGAAAAGAAAAAGAAGGGGAAAAATAAAATATATAAAAGCAATAAAAGGACAACAGGAAACAACAAAAATGTACTATATTATATGGTCCAACCTAAAATTCTATGTGGCTTGGTTGCCTTTTATAGTTTGCCTTTTATATTTTTATATTGTGTCTGTATTAAAGTTGTAGGTCGGGTGAGTATTGCTTCTTTTTTATGCTCTAGCTTACCCAGAGCCATGCTGTTTGACTTGGAGGACCTTATAAATCTTATTAAAGATAAATAATAACACATACAAAAATCATTCAGTTTAATTTTAAACACATCATTAAGCATGTATCATGTACCATATTCCTCTTCATTATATTGCTACAGAATCAGTTCCTAAAAAGAAAGCAAATATGTATTGATTATTCAAGATAGTAAATGTGGGATTAATGTGCCAGGCCAATAGTTTAGTTCATTTTTTCCAGCCCCATGTTGATAAAGTCATAATTCTTCATAGTGTGATAATTTTCTGGTATATAAATCCAAAGCATATTCACATACTTAAAACGTATCGAATTTTGTAAAACTGTGCAAACAAATGGACGAAGATTAAACCAAACAGCACAACAGCAAGACAGTTCTGAATTACATAATTGTACAAATGTCATCCATTAAGTTGACAGTTAACTCTTTTTAAAATAAAACACTTTGTGGTTTTAATAAACATGAAAATGGTATTTTTTTTGTATTAGTCTCATGATCATGAGAAACATAGTTAATATTCCCTATATAGATATACATTTTCTAAGCCATGTTATCTATAGTGTAGAACAGGGGTCCCCAACCTGTGGGCTACTGCCCTCTACTGTGCCATGGCTTATTTGCACCCGAGTGGCTTGAGTGGCAGGCCAGCATATTCAGGCGCTGGCACAAGCAGCCCCACTCTGGAGCTGGCATCCCTACTGCCCCTCATACAAAACCATCCCTTCTTCCACCTCCTGTGCTAGGCCACCAGCCCAGAAAGGTTGAGGAATGTTGGTGTAGAAAATTGTACGCCAATAGTTTAGTTTTAGTTTAGTTTAGTTTACTTTATTGTCATTGCACCTCGTACAACAAAATCAAACACCATCTTCAGTGCACATCGTGACCATGAAAATAAACACAAAACACACATCCTTCATCCTTCACACATTGAATTGAAAACCCCCGACACCGCACCAATACTGTACTATACAGCAGAATTCAAAAGAGCTAGTGCCCTGGGATAGAAGCTGTTTTTCAGCCTATTTGTCCTTGTTTTTATTATTCTGTACTATCTGCCAGATGGTAATAGTTCAAAAAAAGGGTTCCCAGGATGAGATGGATCTTTGAGAATGTTTTGAACTTTCTTAAGGCAGCGGGAGCTATGAAGCTCTTCCAAAGAGGGGAGAGGGCAACCAGTGATCTTTTGAGCAATGACATTAACCCTCTGGAGTGCTGTCCTATCTGCCACTGTGCAATAGTAATACATTTATCTGTTTTCTCATCTTAATTTTCACCAAATTTATTTCCCTGCTCTATTTTTTTTTCTTGCCATTTATACATAAATGAATCACGTGGTCGTTAAGGGAATTTTTGCTTGTCAGGAGCCAGCTGGGAAGATCACAGATGGTGATCACATGATCCTAAGATCCTGCAACCCTCATAAATACATGCTGGTTGTTAAGCATCTAAATTTTGATCACGTAACTGTGGGGATGCTGATAGTTATAAGTATGAGGACAAGTTGTAAATCACTTTTTTCAGTGACCTTGTAATTTCAAACGGTCACTAAACAAATGGTTGTAAGTCAAGGACTATCTCTATTTAAAACAGACTAAGTAGATACTAACCAAAGTGTCAATATTCTCATTTATTTTGGGGTCTTCAAATGACATAATCACTTTTTCTGAACTCTTGTCTTCTTTATACTCATCTATTCAAACTCAACTAAAATACTATTTTTTTCCCCTGTGGATGGCATTTGATCAGAATTTTACACTCCCCCTTCCCCCAATTTATCTCTGGTTCTTCCATTATGAGCTTTCACTGGAATTCACATGCAAGTATCCCCAATCCATGGATTCATGTATTCATATGCACTCACCACAACCTAGATCAGGGGTCGCCAACCTTTTGAACCTCAGGGACCACCAAACTCATAATTTTAAATCCCGCAGACCGCTAATATGAATTTTGACTGACGGTGGCTGCAGGAAAAAAGTCTTAAGGAAAATTCTCCACCCTGTTTTCCTACTGATCGATCATTCTTTATTTGGGATTGCAGGATACCGTCTCCAGCTCCTTTCTCTTGGGGGGAGAAGATACTTTTGGCTTCATGGAAAGAAAGCAGCAGAAACAACAGAATACTTTGTTTCTCTCTCCCAAACTCTGCCAGAAATGAGTCTTTGCCAGCGTAGCCTCTTGGAGCATGTTGCCTTGCAGGGTCCCAAAGACTCATTTCTGGATGAGTTTGAGAGAGAGAGAGAAAGACTTTTGCTGGTTTCCTTGCATGCAGCCAAAAGCAGAAGAAGAAAGAAGTGGAAAGAAGCAGCCGGGTAGCCAGGCAAAGCTTGTGGGGCAAGTTTCCTCCCTCTGCCCTTTTCCGCCTCCGCCCTTTCCCCCTCCCCTCACTACCTCATGTTATTCGCAATGCAAGTGATGCAAGCCTTGTGTTCCCGCGGGCCATGTGGGCGGTGCAGCCTTGTGTTCCCACACAGCCTGGATTAATTGCTTTGGGGGCGACATTTCTCTGCAGACCACCAAAATTTTCTCACAGACCACCAGTGGTCCCCAGCCCACTGATTGGCGACCATTGACCTAGATGACAATAATTCATTCATTCTGACTTACAACCTATCCCAAAATGGAAAGAGTAACTTTGGCAATTAGAACATTATGGGATGGAATGTTTCATACACCTTTAGAGGTGTTTAGTATTCAGATCCAAAGCTTCAGAACTGGCATGGGCAACCTTGATATACTTGTTAGCAACTCCTTAAAGAGATCGTGTGTTTTCCTGATCCTTAACTCCTTAATGTTCTCTTGATCACAGCTCATATGTTCCTGAGCTTATATGAGTCCAGTAAAAACATGGCTTCTTTAAGGAGCTATCAATGAGTACATAGACAACGTTCACGCCAGACCTGAGTCACCTTTACCTACTTCAGATCTGAATATTTACACAAGTATAGGGTGCATAAAGCATTCTATCACATACTGTTGAAGATATTATGAATTCCATGTGCAGCCCCCAATGTTTTTGAAGCACAGCAGGATGAGAATTACTCTATCTTGGATTTGTCCGTTTGTCTCTTCCATCTTATTACTCTTGGAGCACCTAACGTATTACTGTATCCTCCTTCATAATACTGTCTCTATTCCCAGGTTCATATGGAATTTTTCAAATATCTTTGTTTAAAGTCATTTAATTGGTTAAAAACTGAATTTTGCCACACATTAACTAGAACCAGTAAAGATCTTTTAACGCTAGTAAGGTGTATTTTATTTAACAAATCACAGCTTAAAAGGTGGCAAACACAACCAGAAAAAGATTACATTTCCAAATAGCGTTGAAATATGCCTCATGTATAACTTAGTACAACAGTACTGTTATAGAATGCAGGTAACCACTGCAACTCTGTTGGAAATGTTTCTTACTATTCTTATCAGTCCATAGAACTGTTAGAAAATGATTATGAATTATTTATAGAACATAATATGGATTTAAATAAATCGGTTCTAAGATTCGTCTAGAATCCCCTTGATTTTCTTGCCTTCTTCTTCTTTTTATTTGCAGTGTGACCTCTCTACAAGCTGTGAGATGGACTGTGATACTAATGACAAGGTAAATAGCTGCACCATCATCGCATGACTCCTTCTGATCCAGGAGGCTATGTTAAAACCCGTTTGATTTTTAAAATTCAGAAAGCAAGCAATTTAAAATTGTCTTCTGGAAATACTGAGTAGGACTGCAAAAGTAATGATTGCATGGTCCATGCCAAGGACAATGCCTTCACCCCTTCCCAAAAGTAGGCTTCTGCCTAAAGCAACTAATGCAAAATCTAAGCTTTGCAAATTGCACCTGGGATACTTCTTTTTTTCAAATGGACAATGTACAGCAGGAGTTTGCGATTTGGACTCCACATTCAGACATTTATACTCCATCTCCTGTTGAAGGGAAGACTATTGCCTTTGCTCAGTAAAAAGGCCTACTGTAATCTGTAATAAGTTTCCTTATTTGTAAATCTATTTGCCAGGCAAAGGCTTACCGACCTCCATAATGCTGCTACAGTCATGTCCTGCTCTGAAAGGCTTATCGACCTCCATAAATGTAATCATTAAAAGCAGAAATTTTATACCAAAAAAAAATTTCCCCAGTGTCAAGGGACACAGGGAGCCCGTATCCACAATCACATACTACTGCACATTCAAGAGAGACAACAGCAACCATTCAGAATCCAAAGTTCTACTGAGAACAATCAGGTCTTGATGGCTTCAGGAAAAGCTAACAGGATCAGGATCCATCTGATACCAAAAGAATATTCTTCTGGAGAAGGGGAAGGCAGTGACTGATGTCCAAGACTGAAAGGTTAATGGTGGTGCTTCTTTTTACCCATTTATCTACCCCTACCTTGCCATTGATTCATCAATTTAAAACGAGTCATTGACTAGGCTAGAATGTGTACATCTTATGCTACCTATGCTTGGGGGAAGTTTGCAGAGACTTCCTGTTCCCACCATTTGCCTGCCTTTTAAAAATGTTCCTCTTTATAACTTATTCCTTGGATGGTGACTTATGATCTTCTTTCTTCCTGCTCTCAAATATACTTCCTCCTGAACTTGTGCCTTCTTCAACAACAAATACTCTTGGTTTCACAGAAGAACCCAGCAAATCATTCAGCCAGCCAGCTAATCAATAAAAATGAATGAAAGAAGGGAGGGGAGAACTATTTATTTTAAAAGTGGATTATAGGAAAGAGGGTGGGAATCATTCAACAGTAAAAGTAGATTGGGGAACCTTTTTTTATAATTAGAAAAGGAAGTCGAATGGATTTTAAAGGTGGTTTGAGAGCGCTTTATTTTAAATGAAGGTTTAAAGGTATGTGAAACATGTTTGGATAGATGTGTACTTATGACTGCTAGGGATGTGCACTTGGACCCTATAGGAGTTGCTGTCCTCCCTTGCAAGTCTAGGGGTCAACTTTCATAACTTGAAAGAAGTAAGGGACAGCAGTGCCTGATGACTGTCCTGTCTGGATCACAAGAAGATACTTTGTGCCCTTGTTTGTTTGTCTAAGCTTTCCTCATCAATTTACTCTCGGTGGATATCAGTAAGAATTAGCAATAAAACATGCATGGTATGATACCCAAGACCAAACAATTACATGAAAAATTATAACCACAGAATACATCAAGAAATCTAAAATCAAAAGATAGAAATGGATAATTAGTGCATTCAAGATTCAAAAATTCTGTTAATTCAATTTTTAATAATATCCTAGAGCTAACTTAGCTGAGAGCTGCACAAATTCCAAGGAAAGGGGAGTTTAAAAGCACCTGCACCAGAGTAGAGAAACAATGCCCTTGAACCTTTTTGACCTCTGGGGAATAATTAGGAAATCCTACCAGGTATTTCATGTCAGATAAATAACAGATAATCAGAGTTGGAAGGGACCTTATAGGCCATCTAGTCCAACCCCCCACCCAAGCAGGAGACCCTACACCATTTCTGACAAATGGCAGTCCAATCTCTTCTTGAAAGTCTCAAGTGATGGCGTTTCCACAACTTTCGAGAGCAAGCTGTTCCATTGGTTGATTATTCTCACTGTCAGAAAGTTTCTCCTTATTTCCAGGTTAAATCTCTCCTTGTTCAGTTTCCATCCATTATTCCTTGTATGGCCTACAGGCGCTTTAGAAAATAGCTTGATCCCTTCCTCTCTGTGGCAGCCCCTCAAATATTAGATAGACAAGCTGGATTGAAGAAACAGCCTTGAGGATACCTTAATGTCAAGACATGGGGCTTAAAATTAGCACTTTGAATTGTCTGTGGAAGCTGATGGGCACATCCATGTGGAGCAGAAAGGTGCAATAAAATAAGGGAGAAAAAAAGGCCAGTGGCCTCCTTAGGCAAAAGCAATATAGCAGCAACGCTCCATGTCATTGCAGCCGCCCACTCCCTCTTCCCATGTTGCAGGATCTGCTTTGTGTGCTTATTGACGATGGTGGATTTCTGGTGATCTCCAACCAAGAAGACTACAAATATCAGGTGAGCTGTTCTTTTTCTTAAAAAGTTAAAGATACTTGCTTCATTTCAGAGTTATATTTATGTAATTACCAAACTTACAATTTCAATTTTCTAATATAACTGCCTGTTAGTACAGTCCAATCACTGATTATTGTTTTCTCACGTTTATGTATAAAGCATATGACTGATAACGTTCTTACAAACAGCAACATGATGTAGCTATTACTGATGATCGTTCCTTTCTCCTATTTCATATTCAGGTTGGCAAGTTCTTCAGTGAAGTGGATGCCCATTTGATGTCTGCTCTCTACAACAATTCATTCTTCACACAGAAAGAATCCTACGACTTTCAATCTGTCTGCGCTCCAGAAGCCCCAAGCAACACAGGAAGTGCACCACGTGGGGTCTATGTGGTGAGTCAGGGATTCCATGCCGTCAGATCTTACCTGATTGAAGCATTGTGCATACAGGTGTAAATATGTTTCACATCACTGAATGGCAAGTTTACATTTAAATTTACAAAGTAGCCAGTGAAGGGGCAAGAAGATGGTGCCAAAGAAGGCAACCCTCTCCCACTCTAAAAATATAAATCAGAAGCCACGCCATTTGACTGAGGAGGCTACTATGAGACAAATAGAACATTAAAATCTTTATGAATGTCCAAAAAAAAAATTCAGCTGGGAGGAATGCATGTTATTGCCCCTCTTGAGTTAAAAGAAGGATATTTGTCACAAACAAATTGTGCCAGACTAAACTTATCAGTCTTTTTGATGGAGTAGACTAAGCCAAACTGCCAAGTGTATTTTTTTAAGCAGAAGGACTACCAACTTTCATCTGTCCCCATTTTTTGGCAATGGTAAAATTTCCTGTTGTTCTTCTCTGATTGTATGAGACCTTTCACAAGTGATCCTATTGCTACTCCTTCTCCATTCTTCTACTCAATTATTGTTTTTAAGAGAGTATGTTGCTTCACCACAGTGCCCTTCTGGATACAAACAAGCAGAGACATGGCTGATAGCTGTAACAGCAGAGATCTACAGGTTTACTAATTAAGCATTTGATAGCCTTGCAGGAATCTAGAGGAGTGGGGTGGCAAAGAGAAGCATTGCAGAAGAAATACAACGAAACGTCTAGCATGGTTTGAGGGACAGAATCCACCTATGTGAAAGTGTAAATGATGAAGCACTGAGAATGGTTGGAAAAGGGCAACTATGATGTAACAAGCCTCGTGGATACCAGCTGGATTGTATAGTTGTCCCCTTCAAATTAGGCACCTATTATATTTACCAAGATTGGCCACTCCAAGGGATCATCCAAGGGAATTCAAACTTGGAGCAGCCCAGCATTCATGGAGAAAGAAAATTAGGAATTGATATTCACACCATTAACACATGAAAAACTGCAGTTCACTGGGCTTGGATTTCCCAAGTAGTACATTCATATCATAGCAACAACTGTGGTCTGTGTAAAAGCCTACTTCTTTCTTTCTTTATATTTAGCCAACCATGGCAGATTTCTTGAACCTGGCTTGGTGGAGCTCAGCAGCCGCATGGTGAGTCTTTCCTTTCCTTTCCTTTCCTCTTTTTTTCTTTTCTTTTCTCTTTTCTCCTTTTCTTTCTTTTTTTTGTAGTTGATGGGATAAGCTGCAGAAGCTAAGATGTATTAAAACATGAACCATTCTAGGACAGATCTCACAACCTGTTACAGAAATATTAATGGGATTATTTAAATGTTATTGTTTTTTCCTCGAAATCTACAAATTCATTTTTGTACTTTCTTTGGGAGGGGTGTTTGTTTTCAACTTGGAGATGTCAAAACAAAATTAATTCAAGGAACCTATTCTACATTGTGACATGCAGTTGTGTTCTTTTACACTCATCTAATTGTTATTTCTTCCCACAAGGTCTCTATTTCAGCAGTTCTTGTATGGATTAGCCTATAACAGCTGGTTTCAAACAGGTAACAATCCCTATTTGTATATTTCTTTCAGTCCCCAAAGGATGAAATGGCAGGAGGAAGCAAATTAACTGTAGCTGGATTAATATAGGAAGTGAAAATAAAACTAAATGTTATGACTGTCAGTTGCTCCTTCATTACCATGTGACTGAATACATTACTGAAATTGCTTACTTGCTATAACTGAATGGTTCGGGTCTCTCAAAAGCATCCCTCATCTTTCTGTCTTTAAGCTTGAGAAGCAGATTGTGACCTAATTATTCTGGGTGCAGCTTCAGGGGGCTTTAGGGGCAGAAACATAAAATCTGCACACATAAATCTTCATCAAAGCATATTACAATAAATCCGATCTATCATGACAAAAAAAATGAGTGGAGCCATCAATAAGTTGCTAAACTGACCTTCTGCAGTGGAAAAAAATAGCAGATGTAAGTCAATTTCACAAGGTGGATTAGTTGGGCAAGGGAATACATCAAGCTTTAATGTAGATTAGTACAAGATGGCAGAACAAAAAGCAGGGTTGATAGAAAAAAATCTCTAGATTTCCCCATGCTGGCTAAGGAATTCTGGGAGTTGAAGTCCACACATATTCAAGTTACCAAGGTTAAGAAACACTGCCCTAGACAGAGCAGAGAAATGTTATACTTCTACAATAAAATAAAAAATAAATGTCTAAGTAGATGAGAAAAAATAAACAGTAAAGCAAAAGAGAAATATGAGATAAATTGTTGAATTTCACCCCCTACATTCTTGCACCATTATCAGTAGCATTTGGCACAAGCACATCTTTAGTAAAAGTCAGTCCAACCAGATGAACTGCTTTTTTAGATGATGTAGGAAATATTTTTTTTAAATGTCATGCTTTTATTTGCGACTCATTATATGTCCTATGTGTCCAAACAGAGGATGTTTCAGCAGAAAACATGGAATCCAGGGAGACCAGCTGCATCATGAAGCAAACTCAATACTATTTTAGTTCTGTTAACTATACTTACAACACCATCATTGACTGTGGAAATTGCTCTAGGTTAGTACAAAGAGCCTGTCTTGTTAGTAAACACTGTAAGATTCTGATTCTTCAGCTCAGTCCTTATAACCACAGGAGGGAAATGACCTTCTCCATCCTCAATAAGATGGGTGGCAAATACAAGTAGGTAAATAAGAGAGGAGGGGAGGGGACGGAGAGAGAGAGAGAAAGAGATGAATGAGATATAGATAGATGATACATAGAGATAGATAGATAGATAGATGATAGATAGATAGATAGATAGATAGATAGATAGATAGATAGATATAAATTTGAATGAGGTAGCTATGATGGCTGCTTCAGAAGCTGAAGCTCTTTACCAAGAATAAAATCCTACTAACCAAAGCACTTCTTTGTGGAGCACAACTCCATAAAGCATAAATTATGAAGAATAGGATAACAGGGTAGCAGTACTTCATCTTCTTTCTCTTTTTCTCCAGGTTGTTCCATGCACAAAGGCTTGCTGGGTCTAATCTTCTGTTTGTTGTAGCAGAAAAGCCAATATGCAATCAGTGTGAATCCACAAAACTTCTCCAAGCAGAGATAAAAGGTATTGGTAATCAACTGTATTCCAAATCAGTCACAATATAATAGATGGTATGACTATATTGACGGATGTTTTTTTCTGTTGTATTTTTTAAATAAATATTACTTGAGATACATTTCCCATAAGTAGTTTGATGTTCAGATTATCACAAATAGTTTAAGCAAACAATAATCTGAACACAAATCCTTTACAATTTTGTAGACTATGTAGATAAATGTAAAAGCAAATTTTGTAACAATTTAAGACAAGCTAATTATATCAGACCAAAGGTCCAACAATCTATACCTGCAGTAGTGGAGTCCTTGGTACTCTCTGAGCTTAGTTGTTTGCTTGCAGACATTTTATTATTACCCAACTAGGTAACGTTGGTGCTCAAGATACATCTCTTCTCTTCTCTTCTACCTGCAATAGCCAAACAGGTCTGTGGAAAATCCACAATAGGCCATAAAGCACATTCGTGTTCTCCAACTCATCTTCCATAGCCAGTGATACCCAGAGATACATTACATCAGATGGTAGAAGAAATCCAGAGTTGTCATGACTAGTTGACAACTAGTCAATGATTAACTTCTCTGGAGATCCAAGAAGAGGAAGAAGGAACCTGCAGAACCTTGGTGCCATGTATAACTTGCATACAGATTTTTAAACATCATATTATATAAAGTTTATCAATATAATTTAGATCAGGCCGAAGGCAAACTGCCTAGAACCAGAGAGCTGCACTGAAAGATAGGAGCTTTGCTGTCATGTGTACGCATACACACATGTGCTCCCCTCATCCATCTTCCCCCAACTGCAAGGAAAGCAGTTTCCCTCCTTTCCTCTCAGGCATCTTTCAGGAGGGAAAATGAATCTAATAAAAAGAGACAGGTAGCACCTCCAAGCAGTATTATTCAAAAGGAGGGGAGGACACTTCTTGCTCTGGTCCTCTTTTCTTTCCATTCAAAGCGCAGTGAGTTGCTGGAGAGAGCTACTTTCCAGTGCTCTCACCTGTTCCTGTGCTATAACAAACAGCTGAGCAATACACTTGTATGCATCACAATTTTTTTGTGTATGACAAGCTGCTAGGGAGTCAAACACGAAGCCATCTAGTGGACAGTCTATTGACTTCTTGTTTAGAAACATTTTTTTTTTAATTTCTATAAGAGCCCACTTCAATATACCGGCCACTGAGAAATTTCACAAAACTGTTTTTTTTTCCCCCCCTCCCACCAGCTACCATTTACATTGATACAATTACATAGTTTAGAGAGAGGAAAACAAAAACAAGAGAGCGAGGAAGGACAGAAACCCATCACAGGCTTAGGACTGCCTGGTATTTGAAAATGTAAAACAAACCTTAGGTTGGAATAACAGCTCAATATTTGGAGATAATTCAACGTATTTGTCAAAGTTCCGACTGACAAACACAAACAAACAGGCACTGTTGAGATGATCCAATCTCTCAACACAAAGCTTTATTGAGAACAACATTTTGACTCTACAGAATTTCCAGGCAACTCAGAATAGTTAAACTATAGAGTCCTCCCTCCCCCACCTCCATTTGTGTAGGTCGCATTGTCCCATTAGATGTCCAGGTGTTGTTGTGGGAAGATCTGGGGAACACCGCCTGAAATGCCCTTGGTTCTCAAGAGACTATTTCTTGTTATCATCCAGAATGCCCTTTCCAATCTCTCCCTCCCTTCTCCCTGGTCTGTTGGCAAGCTGAGGCCCTTTGAATACACTTTAAAGCTTGACACTTAGTATTTGTTTTGTTTCTTTAATCTTTTTAAAAAAAACAATATTGTTTTATCAGAGAATAAAATAACCCTATTTTTTAATTTTCTAGTTCATGTTGTTTTAATCTGTCTAATGTTCTTTTATCTTCTGCTTCATTTGCTTGATGACACAAAGCTCCTCCAGGAGATCGCAATCAATGTGAGCTAGTAGAGAAGCCACGTTACCGGAAAGGTCCCCACGTCTGTTTTGATTATAACATAACTGTAAGTAAAAGCAAGGATTCGCTTTTTTAAAAAAAAAAAAATATTAACAATTTTTTAACAAAGCAAAAACTATAAAAGAAAATAAAAATAATAAAGAGAAATAGTAAATAGTGAAAAAGGAAAAGAAAGGGGAGGGGAGGAGGGAAATGAAAGGGAAAAGTTGTAAAGAAGTTGGTTCCAGTCTTGTCAGTCATTCTAAATAGATCTGGGTTGTGTCTCTGCCTCTAGAAAATATCCCCTTTTAACTGACAAAAAGGTTATTAGGTTCTAGAACCATTAATGCAGCTATTCTTTTTTTCCTGCTTGTCAATTTGTTTTTTTTTCTAAAGAAAATAATAGACTAGAAGAGAAAACAAGTGTGCATGAAAAGAGGCATAGCAATGTCTGCGCCCGATGCAATTTTGATGAGTTATGATTTTGATTTTGAATTTTGATGAGTATACATGATAAAAGACCATCTGAAAGAATTTCTGAAAATTAATTCTTAAATAAAATGCTGCAAAAAAGTGGCATGAATTTTAACTTTTCTTTGAACAAGACATTGGTCTGAATGCCTTTTTAAGCTCATTGTGCTTTGTTCTTTATCCTGAAAACAGTACAATTTATTCTTTTCCCACTAATGAATCTATGAAATAAAGTTTATTCCAGAATCCTAGATATTCAAAGCTGTTCTAATAGAACAGGAGTCTCCAAACTTGGCAACTTTAAGACTTGTGGGCTTCAACTCCCAGAATTCTCCAGCCAGTGCTGGCTGGAGAATTCTGGGAGTTGAAGTCCACAAAGTTACCAAGTTTGGAGACCTCTGTAATAGAACAAGGAATAGAGGAGACAAGGCCTTGGATAAAGCACAATTTGCATATTTTGCTTAAAAAAAACAAAATTTAAAAATACATATCGCCAAGTTTCAGCTAGAAAATAAATATATGAGTTTCAGCAAAAGCAAGTAGACTTAAAGAAACCTCTCTCTTCCTCTTGTTTCTCTAGGAAGACACCTCGGATTGTGGCAGAGGGGCCTCCTTTAGACCTTCCTTGAATATCTTGTTATGCTTGCAGTTACTCCTTCTCTATTTGACTGCAAGTCACCATTCGCTGCCCTTGGCATTTTGCCTTTGAAACGCCCATTTAGCTTAACCCATCCTTTTTATTTTATGCACATCATCATCCCCTCCAGACTTGCTAGAAGATGACTTCTGCCTAGTCCCATCAATTCTGGCTGCACCTTGGCATTCACTCATGAGGATTGTTGCTTTCTTTACTCAGAAATCCAGAAGTTGTTCTTGGGTTTTTTTCCCCCTTTTCCTCCATCAATCCTTGCCTTTCCAGTGTCTCTGCACAGCAGGTTGTGCTAAAGAGAGATTTGAGATGACAAGGGGAAGCATGGACCACCGTGATCTTCTCCACACAGGGAACATTCTTGAGCTTTGATTCATTGTTCCCCTTTCCACTCATTGAGCTGTTGGCCAAATACAAAGAACATGGCCCCTTGGTTTTATGTTTCCATTGAATCTATGGAATTCTGGGAGACCTTTGTTAGTTTTCTTGTGAAGGACTTTTATTATGGTTTTAAAAGTATTTAATCAACCATACCGATGATACTACTTTGTCTGAAATAATGTACCTTCCCATTTCAGTAATGAAAGCTGCAGAAACACTGATCACTATAACTGAAAAAAATGGATAGTCTTGCCAAATTGATTCTGTAACCTAGCAAATCTTCTAGCCAATTCCAGTAGCTTTTCAGACTCAAAGTAATCATACAAGATCACCCCAATATCATTCCACCCAATCCACTATGAGTTTTCCAAGGCCACTGTTATCTCTGCTTTTCAATAGGTGGATCCCATACCCAGTGATGAATTATTTTCATCCTAAACAGTTTAATCTAGATCTTTCAACATCTGATTTCCAAGCGTTTATCCTGAGAGATTATAGTATTTAGTCTCAGCAAGAAAGAAACATACACAAATGCAGAGGATGTCACTTGAATGTTAAGGTCAGTATTATTCATTTAAACTGCTTATTCTGTAAAGAGGACTTGAAAACCAAGCAGGGCAGAAAAAAGAAGCTGTGATCTTTTTGTATACCATCCCAATAATCCATGTATGGTTGGAGGATGCAGCAACTGAGATGATCTTTAAAAAATGAACAACAAGGTAGAATGCAATTATGGTTTAAATCCAGCAGCTCCCATTGATTATTTTCCTGCTTCCCCATTTCTCATTGGAACCAACGGAAAAAAATATGAGCTATTTTAAGAGCTGTTCTACTCCCCAAATCACAATGAAGTCTTCAGTTGGTAGCTCTGCACCATCCAATCTTTAAAATAAGCCAATTATTGAGATGGCTTGGACAACGATGAAGTCTCTTTTCTTCAGTTTCTTTTCTTCTAAACTTTAAAGAATATTATCTGTGGCACTGTGCCAAACCAACCCATGAAGATGATAGCCAAAGTTCTTCTTCATAGGCTTTGTGCAGAAACCTAACTGCATTCTTTAGTGTTTATGTACTTGAGCTGGGGGAAGTGAAAATGTTCTACTTTACAATGGTGGCTGTTAAAATATCTGCCACTAAGCTCATACAAAGCACCTTTGATGACTCTGCAAGTGTACATTTCATGTCTGAAATTATTTCAAGTGGTTGCAGTGGTTGAAGAATTAAAAGAAAGTATAATGCTATAATTCATCAACTAGCGTCCTAAAAATACCACCTGTTTTTAGGATTTGTCTTGAGCAGATTACTGATCTTTATGCCTGTTAACTAGTGCACATATGATAACAAATACATCTTGCTACACATTATGAACTGAAATGCCTGCAATCCCCTGACAATTCCAGAAGATACTTCTCATCAGCCAAGTATACCCCATGAATTGCCTCTACACTTGAAATAGCCAGCAAATGTGAAGAATCCTGTTTTGTTTTGTTTTGCTTTGTTTTGTTCTGTTCCTGCTTGATGTTACAGGAGAGCCAGAACCTTCTGGAAAATATGGGGAATTTCAGAACTGTATGATGCAGCTTCATCAGGGAGAAACTGTTGGTTGCAACACCAAGAACGGCATGGTTTTTTTCCCCTCTGGCACAAGGGTGATTGCCTTTACAAAAGCCTGCTAAAATATTATACACATTTCAACTTCATATGCTCAGTTCTTTAATCCAAACTACTTTTAATCCAAATATGCCACCTATGAATTATTCAAGTGCTATGAATTTCATTTGCTTTGTTACAAGAAAACCTGGAAAGCAAACTGTAGGTCATTCCTTCAACCTGAAGATTTCGAAAGAGGAAGACAATCCAATTTGATTAACAACTTCAGATTATGTTTGAATCAAACTTTCTGTGGTCTTAGTGTCGTGATTTAATACTAAACCAGAATTTTTGGGAAAAGCCTCCCGATCTCAGAAATTACATATTAATTTAGCCTCTGCCATTTACAATGGCCCACCAGTTGTTTAATTGCAAACAATAGTGCAGCTTGGAAGGTATACAATTGTTGAATGCAACCCATTCCTCAGCCAATACTGGAGGCATATTACTGATGTTCTTAGAAGTAAGATTTCTGTGGTCCTCATAATATAATCTAAAGAGTCAAAAGCATAATACTGCTGTAATAATTATGGCTGCAAAGTGCAAATGTGGTGCTTGGACCTATTGTAGAAAAAAAAATACTTGACAAATCTGGAAGTAGAACCAATGGTGCACTTGCTTGCTTTTCAGTAAACTTTGCTCTTGAGACTAAGAAATTCTTAATCTCTCAAAAGCGAACTTCATTCAAATTCCTTTATGTACATATAACTCCCCCCCCCCAAGTGAATCCTCGTTTTCAACTAAGCAACTAAAAAGACAACTTCCAAGTCTAGTTCCTCCCCCCAGATTGCTTATATACACAATTGCACTGGTACTAAGGATAGTAGTTCTGCTTCATTGGCTTTGTATAGATTTCTACAGGAGTAAACTGGGAGATTATAAATACATAACTCTTATAAATCTAACTAACTGATGTATGGTAAAAATAGCTCCATTAATCCTTGGGTATACTACCAGTGATAATCAATCGTACTGGTTGTGAATACACTCTCAGAATCTCCCTGGTTTCTTCTGAGCAGAAACTACAAAATTGTGCCAACTTTTGTGATGTGGGCAACTGTCTGTAGTGTACTTGCTGAAAACCCCCAGATTCATTCCACATTAGTCTGAGTAAAACCTCTTGTCTTCCTTATGCCACGTTGTCTGTGACTGTTTGGCTAGTGCTCTGGAGCCAGTATAAATTCATCAGCAACAGATATTCAGAGAAGGAAAAATTTAGAGCGTAGAAAGTATACATGGAAATGATACTGGACCTGAAGTACTTCTCATTCATAAAAGAAGCTTATTGGATAACATGGCCTTTCCCTGCTTTTGAATATCTTACCATATCATCACTATTAATGGCCATGCTACATCTCTTGGTCAGCCACAAGACTCTTTGTTCTTGCTCAATTATTCAAGCTCAAAGCTAAAATTTGCTGGGGTTGAATTTGTATTCTTTTCATCCTTGACTTTTGGCCAGTGCCTTCCAAGATGTTGAGGTCGTTTTGTTTTGTTTTGTTTTGTTTTAACCTACCCAATGAAATTGTATAGCCACAATGAAGCACATTTTGTTGCTTACATACATATGCATACAGATGTGTTTATGTATGTAATAACCAAAGACAGATTTAAAAACATACCTTAAGTGATTTACAATGGTGCAAATACATCTTGTAATTCCTATGGGTTTTCCCCCCACTTTCCTTGAAGTGAGTCTGTTTCCAGGTATCGTTATTTTAAGAGGGCATTTATGTTGCAAATGAAAGCACTGCTTGGATCCTCTGGCTTCTTTTTCATCCTAGATTTAGAATTGCTTGCTTTAAAACACATTTTTAAAACTCTGATCATGCATACCTTTAAAATAATGATTGTTGTTCTAAGCCTGAAATGCCAAGAAAACTGGAGGAAGTAGGGGAAAGATGGTTTAGTAGCATTACAGGTTCTATTCAATCGCTGCTATGCCCAGACAGCTTTTGTTACGAACATATAGAACTGGCTTCTCCTGAGCTTGGTCCAGATTGGATAAATCACTGAATTGATAAATCACTGAATTGATAAATCACTGATCACTGTTGCCATGAGAGATAATGACTCTCAGCTTCCAGAACAAGTATTTCTCTGGAGAAGCAAAGCTGTTGGAGAGGAAATAGAAGCAGTGCTGATAACAGAGCTAACTGCAGATGACCGCTTATGGAACAGTATTATCCTTTCTAATAATTATGTTCAGCATAAGCTGGAGTGCATTCACCTTCAGTCTTGGTAAAAGTCTCATAATTTTTTAATGTCTGGGTGCAATTCTGGCCGAATAACTCCCTTACCATTAGTTGATGCCAGACTCAAGTTCAGAAGCGAAGGGAGATGGCAAAATGGAGAATACTGGAAGTGAAACATAAAGAACGGACCCACAGCAGAAGACATACTGAACTTAGCCAAGTGTAGATATTGCCTTGATTACTACATGTCAAACGTGATTCAGCCTCTTCATTTTATCAGTCAGGGAATCACTTAGTACCATGTCAGAGAAATGCTACCCTGCCTCCAATTACTTCAGTTGTGATATATGCAAAAACCACTGGTTAGAAAATAATTTTCTGTTTATTTAGCTGTTTGTTCAATGGTAATCCTTTCTCAGAACTAGTACAAAAAGGAACCAAAGTTCTGAGCAAACTTTTCCAGAGTTAGAGAATCGGCATTTGGAAGACAAAAGTATGACCCATTTTTCAATCCAAGTTGATGATTCCAATTTTTGGAGAGGGGATTGGGATGGGCAAGATCGATGTTTGTGCATGAGCTAATCATATTGCAATATGTGCAGATCTGGACAGAAATACTTTGCTCTTTTCTTGCTACTGTAGCAAAATTTGCCTTCTGAAAATAAGCTCTTCAGATGTATGTGTAAATATAAGCTGAGCTAGGCAACAACCAGCTCTTTTGAAATGGTTGTGTAAACAGGAACTGGAATGTCCATTTCACATTATTTGTGTTATCTGCAGCTTATCTTATTCGAGTCTGAATGGTTGGTGCTATGTCCCAGTCAGAACCACTTGTATATTGTCATTAAGTCTTCCTCCAGTCTTTTTTTTTCCCACTGATAATGGTTGAAGTTGGTATTAATTGATAGAGGAAGATATGTTGGGAAATAGGAAGCTAAGAGCATGACCATTTTGCTTCAATCACCTAAGGAAACCAGAAACTTCACAGGCTGCACACACAAAAAAACCCACAAAAAACAGAATGATAATATTACCCAAAGCTGTTAAAACAGAAAATATAGTTCTAAAGAAAAGTAAAATATAATGAAACTGGAAGAATCAAAGTGAGTATTAAATTGACATGTTAGCATCAGCAAAGGAAATCTCATGTAATTAATAATCATGCAAAGAATTATGATCTTGCATTAAGCCAATTTCCTGAATTCAGAGAAGTAGGAAAAATGCTTTGCAGAAAATGAATCTTCAAAGAAGAGTCTCTAGAGAGTAAGGGACTCT